TGATTTACCCCGTTTATTATTGTGTGCCCTTTTTAAAAATCACTGTGGCTCCAGTAGGCACACAGTAGGCATGCAGTGAACACTGGGTGAATGAATGAGACTCGGTGACGGTGGGGGTGGTGGATTTTGTTCCCGGATGCGGGGTTTCTGGGGATCTGAGTGGGGAAGCGGCACCCCGTTTTCCTCAGAGCGTCTTCCATTCCCCGGAACCACTGTGTGTGTCTTTTCTGTCCTTGGCCAGCGTCTCCCTGCTCTCAGTCCCAAGTGGGAGTCTGCTGAGGACCACGACCACTCCCATTTTGCTCACTGCTGTGTCCCGGGAGCACACAGTAGGTGCTCAGCAAACAGCTAGAATGTGCACGCTGGCGTCCAGCAGCAGAGGGAGATGGGCTCGGCTGCTGGCGGGCCTCGCTGGGCCCAGCAGCGCCGGCGAGATACTGCCATGGGGGGCGAGGAGAGCGTGGGAAGGGGGTGCAGCCTGGGGCGGCAGTACCTGGTTGCCAAGGTTACAAGCACCCGGCATGGGGATGTTGCCATGGAGATGAACCACCTGGGAAGAGAGGGTAGCTCCGAGGGGGAAGCTGTGGGAGGGGTTGGGGACGGGAGGGGGCCATCGGTTCTCCCTGTCCAGCAGGAGCCGTGGTGTGGCTGTAATTATCCCCAAAATTAAAAGTCCCCCAACCCTGACCTCCCTCTCCAGTAAGATGTGCAGGATTGGTGGTCCAGGCCGGTGGAGGGAGGCTGTGGGGGCAGGTGGCCTGGGAGGCTCGGCTGTGACCCCAGATGAGTGGGGTCCCCTCTGTAATGGCGTGTGCAGCCATCAGGTGCGGGGGCGGGGGCGGGGGCGGGGCAAAAGTGCAGAGTGATTAAGGCCTGGGGCTCCAGATCCAGGCCCCTGGGGTCACGCTGGGTCCCTGCTGTGTGGCCCGAAGCTAGTGACAGACACTCTCTGAGCCCCTGTGGCCCCATCGGGGGCGTGGGATAGTGATCGCTCCCTCCAGGTTGTCCAGCTGGCCGGGCAGGTGGGGTCCGCTTCCGGCTCTTCGTTCCTGAGCGGGTCCTGATCCCTGCTGGCTCCGGTCAGCACGGCAGGGCCGCCGGCGGGGAAAGGTCCCGGACTGGTCGCAGACCGTGCGAAAAGGCAGGACGGTTCCCATTCAGCAGCCCATGTTTATGGGCGTCAGAGACCCCCGCCCGCCAGCTCCTAGTCTAACGGGGGTGGGGGATGGGGGAGGGCTGACCTTGCAGGCAGTGGGGGCTCTGGAGGGCTTGGAGCTGGGGAGGGACACGCTGAGAGCCGCAGGAAGCAGGAGGGCCAGATGGGGGCGTCCTCACTCTTTCAGCCTGGGCCGACCCTGAGCTCAAACCAGCGCCCGTGGATCTGAGACCGCCCCCCACATACACATTTGTGAAGTCTCCCGGGTCACGGAAACCCCTCCCTCTTACATCCATGTCCTCGTGAGTTCCAGCGGGGGCGGATTCCGGGAAGCCGGGACCCCGAGACCGACAGCAGCATGTGAGGACCCTGCAGGTGCCGTCGTGGCTCTGTGGCACCGGGCCCAGCCTGCGGGCATCCTCAGGGTCCTTTCGTGGGTGTGGGGGCTGCAGTGCGAGAGCGAGGTCACCTGGTCCCTCCCAGCTCCTGGTTTGCCCGCCCCGCACGGGGCCCTCGCCCACCTAGCTTCGGGCTTCAGGTTGCACACCCACAAAACAGGCCAGTCAGGCTCGGTGGCTTTAGACGCGGAAAGGGTATGGGGCAGAAGGGGCAGGCTGTGTGGCCCTTGCAAGCTGCTCAGCCCTCTCTGGGCCTCTGCTTTTTTGTCTGTGAACGGGGCTAACGGGAAGGGCTGAGGGGCCAGAAGGGATGCGGTAGCCCATCTGCTTACAAAAGCTCCTTGAGGACAAGGCGGTTGGGTGGGGAAGGGACAGGGCTGGCCGTCACCAAAGTCAAGATGCTGTCCACCTTTTGGAAGGCTCTGGAACGTGCCGTGGGGCGGCGTCCTGGGCTCCCTGGCTGGTCCCAGCTGGAGAGGGTGTCGGTCCCTCTGCCCGCCTGCCGGGGGCTCTGGTGACATCCCCCAGAGCGGGGCTTCCGCAGACAGCACTCGAGGCTTCTCGGCCAAGACCTGGAAGCCGTGGGCCGTGGTCACCGTCTGCACGTGCAGCAGGGCCAGACCGGGGGCTGGTGGCCGCAACCCCCGCCTGGCGTTCCGAGGCTTGCTCGGACCTTGGGCTGGAAGCTGGAAGGGCGGGATCTGAGCAGGGGTCAGGGGACAGCCTCCCTTGGGCATGGTGGGCTGGCTGGTGGCGGTGAGGGCTGGGGATTTATACTGGGGCTAGGAGGGTGGGGAGGGAGGGATCTGGTGTCACCAGCCAGGTGGCCGTGTCCTCATTTCTCTCCCTCTCCTTGCCCGTCTCTGCCTCTCTGCCTTTCCCGTCTCTGTAATCTGCCTCTGCGTCTCGCCACGTGCTTCTGGCCTCCTCTCTCTCTGACTCCTGGTAAAATATTAAAATTTCCATATAATATTTCATGTAAAATATGAAACGTTAAATTTCTCCTTGTGAAATATTAAAACTTGACGAATAGGCTAACAGGCCCCTTTCGTCACCATCTTCAATTCCAGGTCAGCGTGTGCCCTTCCAGATCTTTCTCTATACATTTAAAAACATAAAAACATTTGCAAAATGATTATCTGAAGTAAATGGTACCGTACTGTACACATCTGTGTGACAAACTTGGTCTCCCCCTGTGGTCTGCCATAGGCCTAAGGCAGCAAGTCTCAGTGACCTGTCTCTGTGTAAGAAACATCCCCCAAGCTTAGTGGCATAAAACAGTTTATTACTTCTCGCGATTTTCTGGGTTGGCTGCGAAGTCCATCTGCGGTGTCACCTGGGTTAACTACGGGAGGCCTCAGACGCCTGCAGGCTCAGCAGGGCACGGGCGCTTGGCGCTGGCTCCTCCGGGGGGCTCAGTGCTCCTCCGGGGGGGTCAGTGCTCCTCCGACATCTTCTCAGCCTCCAGGAGGCTGGTCCAGCTTCCTTGAAGCACGGTGGCCTCCGGACAGTATCCCCAGAGGACAAAGGTGGAACGCACAAGGCCACTTTGCAAAGTAGGCTCTGAGTTCCCGTGGTCACTTCCCCTACGTTCTCATCAGCCAAGCAAGCCCGAGGGGTAGAGACACCGCCACCCCTCTCCCCTTCTCCCCCTCTCCCCCTCTCCCCGGCTGTATTCAGTTCACGTTTGTACTTGTCTAGGCACCTGCACTTATACAGCAGACTCCCCGGCGGGGAGCAGTGAGGTTAATTCGTTTTTGACCAACCAGGCCAAAGCAACTCTCGGGGGCAGATGTGGTTCGGTGGCCTCCTTCTGGGGAGTCCTGCCTGAGCCCGGGAAGGTGGGGTCTCCTTCTCTTGGGCGCTCGCCGCATTCTCTCTCCGCCTTGGACTTGAACCTTTGTGCTCTTAACCGCCTTGGCTCGCCTCGCCACACGGCCGCGGCTGGCTGCCCGGCCATGGCGAGGACGTGCAATGCCTCTTCTTAACTGAAGAGACAGGGAACGGGACCTCGCGGGGGGACACTTCTAAGCCACCCAATAAGTGGTGGGAGGAGATTTGAGCCCTGATTTGGTGGCTGCAGAGGGCAGCTTTTGCCCTCGTCAGCTCACTGGGCGGTGAGGGTGTGGGCAGAGCGGTCTGGAGCCTGGAGGCTTTGAGGGGTGCGACGGTGGGGCAGGGGGTGCCAGGGACCAGCCTTGCTTCCTGTGATGAAAACTGGGGCTAGAGAACCAAGTGTCCTTCCGTCCTGGCCCCCAGCTGCCCAGGGCTGTAATGGAGTCTAACTGGCTTGCAAGCTTGCTGCCCCTCCCCCCACCCCCACTGAGCCCCTGGGCCCTCTGACCCCAGAGTGCTCCGAATGCTCCAGACTCAGCCTGTGCCTGGCTTAAGATGGGGCAGGCTGGTGTGTGGAGCGAACAGACCAGGTGCCCGGGTTCAGTCTGTCCCCATGTGGCCTCTTGGAGTCCTGGTCCTCCACTGTCAAATGGACACAGGGCAGCCGCTCCCCAACACGGAAGCATGCCGAGTGCACCCAGGTTCTAGGTCACAGCGTTCCCTGGGGTGTGACTAGCCCACAGCTAGGCTACCACCCCCACTGCCCAGCTGTCGGAGGCTTTGGCTCTGGGAGACGGCCTCAGATAAAGGACGGGTGGGGGCGTGAGGGGGCAGAAACGACTAGGAGGAGGCGCACACGCAGGGCTGGTGACAGGGCGCCCAGCAGCCGGGGCTAGCGTGAGGCCCCAGCAGAGCCCAGATCCTGCGATAAACCGGGAATCCGCTGGTTTCATTTCACCTGGTGGCTCCAAGGGCCAAGCAGCGCACAAGCCCTCGCAGCCCCCTCCTGCTGCCACTTCTCGTGTGATCCAAGGCCCTACTGCCCGTGTCCTCGGCCAGCAATTCCTAGATTCTCAGCCTTCCTGACATATCAGATAGGCCTGCTCTCGGCACGAGTGGCCCTGGGCAATTCCCAGACTCTCAGCCTTCCTATCAGATAGGCCTGCTCTCGGCACGAGTGGCCCTGTAGGAGACAGGGACAGAGCTTAGAAAAGGGGACCCAGAAAGAGCCCTGCTTTTGAGGATGGGCATGGAGGGGCATTCATGACCACAATCCTGAAAGGGCCAGGGGGTGGGGCTCCCAGGCCCAAGAGTGGGGAGCGTGGAAGGAAGAGGGCAGGCTGGGCTGAGATCCAGGCCCGTCCACTTTGTTCTCTGCAAGGCCACACAGAGGCACTGAAGGGACTCTGCCGAGGGGACTGGCGGTTGGTCCATCCTCCAGGAACCACAGGCTGGCCTGGGGTGTCTGCACCGCTGTGCTCCCTGTCGCCCGCCTGGGACAGCCCGGTCATCACCCCCCAGGCCCCAGCACAGACCAGGGCTGGTGCTCGATGACTCTGCTGGGCTGAACCGAATCCCTGTGACCCAGAACACTGAGGCCGAAAGCAGGGTTCTGGGGCTCCCGACACGTGAGGTTTGCGGTTTTATTAAGAAAACAAAAATGTAACCTATACAAAAAAAAGAAAGTCCTGTTCCTCCAGGGGCCACTGTGAGTCCGAGGGCGGCCAGTCCCGTCGTCCCCGCCTGCTAGGCCTCCTGCTGCTGGATGAAGGGGTTGGGGATGGCCTCCATGCCGTCCTGCGGGCAGATGAGCACCACGGAGGTGCCCCTGCACACCACCAGGCCCAGCTGGCGGGTGTCCTCCGTGAGCTTGTACTGGTCATCGGGGTCTGTGGTGGGGAGGACGGGAGTGAGGACTTGCGACCCTGCCTGAAGACCCGAATCGAAGGGTCTCCTGACCCCCACATGCCACCCCCCCGACCCAGGACCTTGGAGGGGCTGTGCTAGCCAGGCTGCAGCCTCCCCTGTGGCAGCCCACGGGGCGAGGTGGCTCCGAGAACCCTGTCCGTGGCCTGCCCTTGTTCTGCGAGTGAGGATGTGGAGGCCTAAGGCCTGGCGCTAGGTAGCGCGGCTGCTGGGGCACGGGCACCCGAGCCGGCGGAGGCCCTGGGGCCATGCTGTCAGATGGGCAGCTGGATACAAATCAGTCTGGGGCTCCAGGTTTCTGCACAACTGCAGAAGTCCTGTGGGGCCCCTGCACCCATGTCCATAGGGTGTAAGTGGTAGGGGGAGGGACCCCATGGAAGTGACAGCAAGCTCAAAGGAAGCTCTTCTGACGTCACAGGGAGGAAAAATCCCCATCACTGTTACTGTAGGATGTGGGGGAGGGGGACCAGGAGGCCCAGT